TCTGATCGTAGACGCAGCTGGGTATTGTGAGCGTGGGGGAGGATGAGAAATTAGAAAAATACCAGGATATTGCTGGGGGGGGGCGATTGAGAAAACTATGACGTATGACTGGTTAGAATCATGACCGCGGAAATGTACCCAAGGCGATGGAATCCGGTTTGGATGCGTTTGAAAATCGGACTATACAGACCATGCAGTCGCCGGTGATGACAGAGGTTGCAAACAAGGAGAACGCTTATACTGAATATCAGGAAGAGGCAGCTGAAATTTCATAATGAGGAAAGGGGAGAATCTGATACTCATGGAGAATCTGATACTCACGGGTCGAATATAAGGAAAGAGAGACAAGGGAAAATAACGTGTGACATACCTGGCGAGCTTGAGCAGGTGGATCACAGAACGTGGTCTGGGGTAGGAAGCAGTGGGAAGGAACTTGCTGAGGGCTGTAAGGGATGGAGGGAGGTGGGTAGCCATGATCGCCTACGTCCTGAAAGGACATGGCACATAAAAAGAAAGTAGCGTGTTTGATCCTAACGGGGCGTGTCACACTTGTGGCCTTTGGCGAAGTAAGTTAAGTTTAGTTTTTAGTAAGGCCAAGTTTTGGCTCATCCGTTTGGGCGCGGTTGATTCGGGGCCTGGTTCGTTTTGCTGCCAAAACATTTCGACGGCTGCCGTTTTGTCGTTGAGAAATATTTCTTTTGAAATCTGGTCTTTATTCTAGGCTTGTTCTAACCACTCGAAGCTAAAATCTCTTGCAAGATCATAGCGTATTAACCTACGTTCATTTCCGACTCCGGACCGCTAGAAACATAAACAGAACATTAGCTCTATCTGGACCTTTTAATTTGATAAAGGGAGCAATTTTGTATTGTGCTGTGACACAAGGTCAGTTTAATGTGGGGAGCCCGAGCACGTACATCCAGGGAAGAAACAAAAATTCCCGAGCCTCCGCAAACGTCGGTTGCGCTGGCCTCGATGCGTACACCGATCCCTCGCTCTAGTGAAATAAGAGGGCGTGGCCTCGGGGAGCTGTTCCCCAGGGCCGGCACCTCTCAGTATAATTTTCCTCAGTTGCGATACTGTCCTCTGACGGAGCCGCCCCTGAGAGATGATAAGGAATGTGTTACAAACTATTCGAGAGAGAGTAATTTGCATTTACTCCCCACCCCACTGAGTCAGGTTGTGACACAAACTTGGTTTTTAACGCGGAGACCCGAGTGTCTTCACTTGAGCTGCTGGTTTTAGCTTGTCTAAGCTAGTCATAGCTGGTCCAAGCTGTTCAGAGCCACTCCAAGGTAGTCATAGTTGTGATACTACCAGTGCAGGAACGGATCCCTGTGACCAGTAAGTAGAGATTTACTTGAAAGGGTGGGTGAACAAAGCTCGCCGCAACTTCCTATCCTGTGTGGCCCTTTGAAATGTGTCTTTTCACTATCCCTTGCACACCATGTTCTGCTATTCATCTATACAGGCTCTTTAGGTAGGTAACTCGCTGTTTACCACTGTTCCCTCTTGCCTTCAGTATGCCTTGTGAGTGCCACACTTTCCAAGCCCTCTTTCCTCATTATGTATCCTAGAAATACCAACGGTCTCTTTCAGATTCCAAGTATTTTCTTCTTCTATGTATCGTGTCCTTTCAGACGTTGGTGATCACGACTCTCGACAATTTCCTCTCCTTTGTAGCTCTTGATAAATGAGTCTAGCATCAGCCATGCTGATGGCGGGAAGGAAAGTTTCTCTGTGGTACTTAAATGAGAGCAGTTTCGTTTTGTAGGCATTAAAATTTACGAGCCATTCCCTGCCCCAGTTAATCACATACTGAAGTTTTTTTTCAAGAGCAGTGGACGGGTTAACTTTGTCAGCTCTGACGGATTTGCTATCGAGACAGGAGTAAATAGTAACGGAGTAATTAATTATGGTGGGCATTAAAATCACAAATATATTTGCAAACGGTTATAAAGAGATGGCCATATCTATATTATCAGAAATACTATCCAGTACGCAACAGTCATGAGAGGAAGGGGAACGGTAGAGAAAGAAATGATAGCTGACTGAGTTTAGTAGAGAGAGACGGAGACACATGTAAGAATGGTCTGGAGATTCACGAGAGAGCTCTTTAGCCAGTGGGAGATGTTCGCGGAAATAAACTCTCAGACCTTACATGTGGACATAACAGTCCTTCCTAAAGAGAGGAAGATAACCAGGAATCGAGAAATCAGAGGAGGGGATTGAAGAATTAAGATTAGTTTCACAGAGAGCTGGGATGTCCAGCGACTTTTCGAAGAGGAAAGATTCCACACTGCAGAGGATGGTACGAATACCATGAATGTTGGAGAAAGACAGGTTGAGGGATTTAGGTGTTTTTTGTTGAGTTGGTTTAGTAAAACTAAACCCTTTATTTAGTCCACGGAGATAGATTGTTCTAACTCCACGTACCACATTCCAAATTTCGAAATTCTAAGAAATATCATCTGAAGAAGGCCGGAGCGTACAACGACCGAAACGTCGTGAATATGGCAGTAAAGATGAGAACAGCAGTCCGAATAATGTAAATAGTGTAAATAGTTACAATACCTCATCTTAGAAATATAGACAGATCTCTTTTCTTTGTTTCTAACGAAATTTGTGATGCGTAGCTAAATCTCAGCAGTCAGTTAAGTATCATATGTGATAATCTCTTGTGTAATCATGTCTCTTTCGATTCATGACTGACTAGGAAGATGATCCTCCAGAGGTAAGTTGCCATTTCTTTTGCGGTAGACTGGTTGCCAACCAAGGTTAAAGAACTCTCTCTCTCTCTCTCTCTTCTGCTATTCAGCCTATAGCTGAGGGGATGGTGATGGTGCTGGAGACAAGAGATGGATTCATACCTTTCCCAAAGATATTTAAAGGTAACGAACTCAAATGGAATTCGAACACAGCTCTCCGATTTCTCATTCCGAGCCACTATCCATTAGAATACAACGCACAAAACACGTGAAGTCTTATCACGATCATAGATATCCTCTTTGTTGAGAATTACCCTTGAAAATCAACATTCGAAACCCTGGGCTTTATCTGGGTCCGAACTTGGGGAATGCACGACTATTTCAGTAGAGCGTTTAGGTTTATCTTGTTTTACGGCATAACAACCTCAATGAGTTATTTAATGCTGACAAGGTTTTTACAATAGCTTTGCAAGAAATCAGTTTGTAGATCAGGTTTCATTGACGTATTTTTGTAAAGAGGGTTTTTGTCGAGAGTTAAATGTATTGATGGTAATATTTGTTTTTCTTCAAAAATAATTAATGGTAATTTTTTTTTCAAAACTGTATTGCTGATGTTTTTACTATAAAAATTTATTTTTGTACTTTTGTAGTGAATGCGAAATAAAAATAACTCTTTTTTTCACTGTTTTGAAATTCGCGAGCCTATGAGAAAATTTATTTTGACCAATAGAAAAAAAGGATTGGCTTCGGGCTGAAGAAAAGACCAAGGCAAAGTTTAACGAGCCTATGTGAAAATTTATTTTGACCAATAGAAAAAGGGACTGGCTCCGGCCTGAAGAAAAGACCAAGGCAAAGTTTAATGAGCCTATGTGAAAATTTATTTTGACCAATGGAAAAGGCAGCGGCTTACAAACTGAAAAAGAAGTAACGAGTCGATGTCAAATCGTTTTTTGATATAAATAGGCAGAGAAAGTTGAATCAAGTCAGAGAGGCAGAGAGAGAGAGAGAGAGACAGACAGACAGACAGACAGACAGACAGACAAAAGGCAGAAAGAAGTAGAGATCCACGCGTCTTAATAACCCCAGTATAAAATTATAGACTGATGCATTCTCACACTCGAATGAAAACAGGGCAATTTTAAAGAACTCTATTCAACTCCAAAGCTCAGTACATTAAAATATATTTTGTCATTCATGTTGAATACAACCATATAACTTTTATATGAAAAACGAACTCTCTCAAATTGTTTTAAACGTTTTTGGATTATTACTTTGTGTCCGATGATTTAACATGAACATTTTTTCTTCTTGACAATTCATCGAAACTACGAAATTCAAATATTTGATTCTTTTTCCTGAAACAAGCTACTAACAACTTCAAATGTGTAAACTTGTAAATAAATTCCTTATCTTGTTTTGTTAAATATAACACGTGTGTTTCCTCGTCATTATCCCTCAATACTTCAGTTTAATAGTGTTTTGATATCAGTTTTGGTGTTAACTATTTGCCCATAGATGGGACCCTAGCAGGTGCTACCACCCCGGGTTAGGATAGAACTGGGAACAGCATCAATTAAGAGGTGGTTCGACGCTTCTCAAAACCTCCTGATCAGATGTAGTTTATCGTCATACCCAGGACCCTAGCAGGTGCTACCACCCCGGGTTAGGGTAGAACTGGGAACAGCATCAATTAAGAGGTGGTTCGACGCTTCTCAAAACCTCCTGATCAGATGTAGTTTATCGTCATACCCAGGACCCTAGCAGGTGCTACCACCCCGGGTTAGGATAGAACTGGGAACAGCATCAATTAAGAGGTGGTTCGACGCTTCTCAAAACCTCCTGATCAGATGTAGTTTATCGTCATACCCAGGACCCTAGCAGGTGCTACCACCCCGGGTTAGGGTAGAACTGGGAACAGCATCAATTAAGAGGTGGTTCGACGCTTCTCAAAAACTCCTGATCAGATGTAGTTTATCGTCATACCCAGGACGGCATTTCAGTAGATCCACGCTAAGTTAGTACTTATTTACTTAATATATCTTATATACCATCAAATACAGTAATACTAGTATCTTTTTTTATGCGTTAAAATAGAAACAGATGCTAAAAGATAAAAGCTAATACGTTAGGAATTTTAGTTCTTTGAAAAATAAGAAGTGCGATTAATTTCGAAACGTTGACAATACTTACAACACTCGGTGTTTTCTTTTTTTTTGTTTGGTTTACCCCCCGTCTTTCCGTCGCCTTAGATCGTCACAGGGCGTCATCCGGGTCACAGGGAAACGTAAACAGATGCACGTGTATAAGTGCTCTTTCTCTGTCTATTGGTTTGCAGTTCTTTTTTTAGCTCTGTACCTATATATATATATATATATATATATATATATATATATATATATGTATAGTTATATGTATATGAGTAAATGTATGTATCGCTATAGATTCCTTTTTTCTTTTATAAACTGTCTGGGAATTTTCATATGATAGTGTGTTGATTTCCAATTGCTTTCTCAAAAGTATTGTATAAAGAGTTTTCTTTCTTTAGATTGGTTGCCAGTCTACCCTGTTATTTACCGCACAGCTAGTCGCAGGGGAGAAAAAACGGATTCATACATTTCCCAACAATACTTATATCTATCTATCTATCTATCTATCTATCTATCTATCTAAGATAATGAATAAGATTCCGATGCATATTTTATTCCAACATATATATATGTATATATATGGCTGTTTCTTGCTATCTATCTATATATCTATCTATCTATATATATATATATATATATATATATATATATATATATATATGAATACAGACTTGGATAAGTAAATTTATTTTATGTCACGTTTTAAATGCACACACACATACGCATATATATATATATATATATATATATATATATATATATATATATATATATATATATATAGTTGATAGGATACAGAATAAATAGGAAACAGATCTCAATCTAACATGTTTCTCTTTATTAAAGCTTCATCAGAGATGAAGATAGAAATGATAAAAAATGATAAAAAACAAAGAGATGCAGGTTAATGGCATGTTGTGTTTGGCTAGTTCTCATTGGTTAGTTACATGTCACATGTCATGAAGTCCCAGATAATATTCAAATATGTATGAGAAACATTCTGGACGCTTAAGTGTGTAAAGGTTAGTGAGACGCTGCAGGGTATTTTGAATAAATCTTCTTTTGGTTTGATTTTTCATTAAAGCACATTTCATGCGTATTTTGTAAATATCTACATTGATTTTTATGCATTAGAAAGAAATCAGTTGGATTAATGAATAATGAATCTGTAGAAAAATGGTGATGTAATGTAGTTTTTTTAAACGTGTGTTGACTGTTGGCAGTATTGCTATAAATACGTTTTCATAATATTTTCTCTTTAAAGGGCTATGTTCTTTTTTTTAAAAATAAAGTTGGCATTGGTGAAATTAAAGTTATGTCCCACGTCGTTGCGATGTAAAACGAGAAAATTTGAATGTTTATCTAATCACAAGTCTCTTTTGTATTACTTGATGCGGGGTTTTATATCGGGTGATGTTTCCCAATGTACATGTTATTGTGCTGTCGACATTTGATATATATATATATATATATATATATATATATATATATGAATTCACATATATGTATACTTGAAAATATATTTTACTCTCTCTCTCTCTATATATATATATATATATATAATTAGTAGGCTTCACCCGCTCGCTATCTGGTAATTTTTCTCTAGGAAAATTTAGTTGTTTTTCTCTGAGATTAATGTTCACTATTTATTAAATATTGGTCCTTTGCAAGCATGTCTGTCTTGTGTGAGTGAGAAATGTGGGTAGGGCTTGATTTCTGGGGTTGTATGTTAAGCCCGTCTGGACGGAGTATTTTGAGGCGCAAAATCCATTTATCTTCATGTTCCTCTAGTATATTTCTAAGCTTATCTTTTCTGTCTATTTCTATTTTTTCAATTATAGTGAATTTTGCATGGGTTTTAAAATCATGTTTTTCTAGACGGAAATGTTGTTCTACGGGTAATCATTTTTCGTGGGGAGCCGACTTGATCCAATTCTGATAATTGTTAATTCTGTTATTATTAATTCATAAATGAGGAAATGACCGGCCTTCCGGTCATATATATATGTGTGTGTGGGGGGGGGTGCGTGTGTGTGTGTTTCTTTAAAAACAACTGACAAGGTACTGCGATTAAGCTTTTTATTTAATTTTTCTTGTGTTCGTACAAGAGTTTTTTTTTTTCTGGACACAAAATGTGTAAAAACTGTCCAAAAGTTCTGCATATACGAAATCTTTCGACTATTGTTTTAGACATTAACAATGGCAATGTTTTTTTTTTTTTTTATATTTAACTAAATATGTGGGTATTTTATGCATGTGTCTAAAGTTATAGTAATATTTTATTTTTTGAACACTGTCAGCACGTTGTGGCCGCGTTCATACTTAATGTTATTGAGCATTGGGTTTTCGGTTTTTATTATTAGAGCCTTCATTATTTTTAATCTTGTTTTTACATGTGGATGAGGCTATTGCACTTGTATTTTCTAATAATATGCTTCATATGGAGTCTGGTATATTTGTGTGTGTTTAAATGAGTTCTAATAGAATGGTCTGGTCGGTGTAACGTAAGTCGTCTGGATAGGCATGTAGTAGTGTAACCAATATAAGATCAATGGCTAAAAAGGTTTTAAGTGTGTGAAGTCTGGGAGTCTTGGCAATGACCATCCTTCTTCGAATCTTGTGGACTGGCGATACAGAATCACAAAGTTTTAGGTCTTGTTTAACATGTATTTCCCAGCGACTAATAATAGCAGAAACTACATCACTAAAGGACTACCAACAGCAGCAACAACTAAAATGGCTAGCACATGTAACTCGAAGAGAATATAATGACGTAATCAAGATGTTGGCATTCCACACTATTTCAAACAAAAGGTTAGGAAGGAAACCCGCATCAATACTGGAAAGATCGATAACAGCTACTGGACTTGAAAAACCCTATTTTACTGAGAATGTTTTTTTTAAGAGAAAAAGTTTTATAAATTTTATTCGAAAGCAGTACTGGCTGCTCGGCCAATAAATGCAAAATGTTTCCTTATAGGGAAACGGTTAATATTACTATTATCATTTCCTTGTCGTTTTAGTGGACGATTATAGTCATTATTTGTCTTCTTTACTGTATAAAAAACAACAATATTTGTCTTAACTGCAAAATTGTATATCTTCACATATAGAAAATAGCTAAAGAACATGTTTTACCGAATTAACTAATTTCTTCTTCGCATTCAGAAGAAATATTTTCCCCAGCCACATCCTTGACGAGCGCACAAAACTAGCGTTAAAGAATTTAACACAACCATCCTGGTGTAAACAAAAATAAACATCATTAACTTTTATTAGATGTAATCACAAGCACTCTAACTATAAACATGATGAAAAAGCTATTAAAAACATAATTCACTGATGCATATCTCTTAATGATTGTAATAAATATGTACGATTTTTTTACGGCATTTCACCCCAAGCAAGGCCGGAGTGCCGCTAGCACGCAAGGGGTTACAGAGGGTAGAGAAGAAGAGTAAAGAGACGTGTTTGGGGAGAGGATAAAGAGAAGGACGGGGAACAAGCTGAGGGTGTTAGACGTTGATTGACATTACACTTGAATGTTTGAAGATTATAGTCATCAGGGAAGCAAGTAAGGGGAAGGGAGTTCCACAGACGGGAAGTGCGGGAGAAGAAGCTGTTTGAGTAGAAGAGACTGTTACATTTAACCATTTCAACAGTGAAAGGGGCGAACCCAGTAGCTCGTTTAAATTCACGCAGTCTGGGAACAAGAGAAAGCAACTCGTCGGAACAGTTGCCGCCAAAATACTAAGAGAAGAGACAGGAGGAAGCTACGGCACGTCTGTAAGAAAGCGACTGTAGACTAGATGCCAGATCAGGACCTATCACATTGCATATCCATCTCTGGATTTTGTCGAGGACCCCGAGACTTACAGCAGGTGCACCAGACCATATATGACAGCAATATTTCAAGGACGGATGGTTGAATTATAGATTTGAACGATGGACTCAGACGAGAAAAAACTTTCTGGCACGACACAGAGAACCAAATTTCCTTGCGGTAGATGAAGCTATTGAGTCTAGACAACAGCAAAATAATATACAACATTCACTGCAAGGAAAGACACAAAATACTTGATGCTGTTATTATATAAAAGAAACAATATATAGTAAACTGAATAGCTCTCCCCTAAGAATGTATAAAAAAATATTTAAATTTTGTCTAAAATTAATTTACGTAAATTCTTCATCTGGTGTTGTTAAGCGCTGTATAATTGTTCTATACACGATGCCACTTAAATAACACACAGTCTTATCTTAAGGGGTTGGCCTATTTCTCCTTTCTCTTTTTTTTAACCACAGCTGCATCTATCTATCTATCTATCTATCTATCTCATTCTGTTCGTATCTATCAATCTCAGTCTATTCGTATCTATCTATCTATCTATCTATCTATCTATCTATCTATCTCATTCTGTTCGTATCTATCTCTCAATCTATTCATATCTATCTATCTATCTCATTCTGTTCGTATCTATCACTCAATCTATTCATATCTATCTATCTATCTCATTCTGTTCGTATCTATCTCTCAATCTATTCATATCTATCTATCTCATTCTGTTCGTATCTATCTCTCAATCTATTCATATCTATCTATCTACCTCATTCTGTTCGTATCTATCTCTCAATCTATTCATATCTATCTATCTACCTCATTCTGTTCGTATCTATCTCTCAATCTATTCATATCTATCTATCTACCTCATTCTGTTCGTATCTATCTCTCAATCTATTCATATCTATCTATCTATCTATCTATCTATCTACCTCATTCTGTTCGTATCTATCTCAGTCTATTCATATCTATCTATCTATCTATCTATCTATCTACCTCATTCTGTTCGTATCTATCTCAGTCTATTCATATCTATCTATCTATCTATCTATCTATCTATCTCAGTCTATTCATATCTATCTATCTATCTCAGTCTATTCATATCCATCTATCTATCTATCTATCTATCTGTCTATCTCATTCTGTTCGTATCTATATATCTATCTATCTATCTAAATTTGAAATATAAGTAGGCATCCATTTATCTCGTGAGATAAAGGTAGTGTTCTGTTTGGTCAAAATTCAGTCCTTTGGTGATGACAGTGACCTCCCCAGAGCGGAGACCTGGCTGATGGTATATGGAGATCGTGTGTTTCCCAGACTACATGCCAACCCCTCTTGGCCGTACCGACAAATTCCAAAGGAATACGGTATTTACCTGATCTCTCTACAAGCGGGATGTGGCACAAGGCCAATTATTTTACGTGGAGTATCCCGAGCCCGTAAGCTCAGTCAAAGAAATTCCACGTAGACGCCTTTGTTTACCTTGCCCAGACAAAACTCAGCCCTTTGACATAGCCCCGTTTGGGTTCCTCTCCGCCCTACATCCTGAGCCAGGCAGCGGATTGCCTGACTCATTCGAGCTTTAATGAACTCCAAAGGAATACAGGGCATTGCATTTGGGTCTGGCTTGGGCTACGGAAATTGACAGAAAGTTGCCAGTCAATCTCCGGGTTTTAGATCTGGATTTACTTCCATAGCCTTTGCCGTGCGTGTTTTGGATATGACCGAATAGGTAGCGTAAGTTTTCTATCTTCTACATGAATTGTCACCAAAGAAGCTAGTTATAGGGCGTCAGTTGTTCGCCGTCGCCTATTTTCCGACTTGAATCTGGACTTAGTTAATGTTAATATATTTGAAATATAGTATTCCAAAATATGACAGGATGAAGCTAACAAAATAATTCGTTATGAAACTGATAACATTAAACTTCTGATAATGATCAGGAAAGTACTCGAATAAAAACATAAACTTAATTTGATCCAGATGTGCAATGAATTATTTGAGGATTAGAGACATGTAATAAAATATTAAACAGTCAGATATTGTTAGTTGAATTTAATAAAATTTGATTGAATTCTTGCTGCCTCTCTCTCTCTCTCTATATATATATATATATATATATATATATATGAAGAGACGGATATTCGCTACCACACTTAAGAAGGAAAGATACAAAAATTACATAGAAAATATAATTTTGAAATATCCTGTACCTATCCTGCTGTTTCTATCTATCTATCTCATTCTGTTCATATCTATCTATCTATCTATCTATCTATCTCATTCTGTTTCTATCTATCTATCTCATTTTGTTTCTATCTATCTATCTATCTGTCTCATTCTGTTTCTATCTATCTATCTCATTTTGTTTCTATCTATCTATCTATCTATCTATCTATCTATCTATCTGTCTCATTCTGTTTCTATCTATCTATCTATCTATCTATCTATCTATCTGTCTCATTCTGTTTCTATCTATCTCATTTTGTTTCTATCTATCTATCTGTCTCATTCTGTTTCTATCTATCTCATTTTGTTTCTATCTATCTATCTATCTATCTATCTATCTGTCTCATTCTGTTTCTATCTATCTCATTTTGTTTCTATCTATCTATCTATCTATCTATCTATCTATCTATCTATCTCATTCTGTTTCTATCTATCTCATTTTGTTTCATCTATCTATCTATCTATCTATCTATCTATCTATCTATCTATCTGTCTCATTCTGTTTCTATCTATCTCATTTTGTTTCTATCTATCTATCTATCTATCTGTCTCATTCTGTTTCTATCTATCTCATTTTGTTTCTATCTATCTATCTATCTATCTGTCTCATTCTGTTTCTATCTATCTCATTTTGTTTCTATCTATCTATCTATCTATCTATCTATCTATCTATCTATCTCATTCTGTTTCTATCTATCTCATTTTGTTTCTATCTATCTATCTATCTATCTATCTATCTATCTATCTATCTATCTCATTCTGTTTCTATCTATCTTCATTTCACATATTCACACAGCGCATCTCCTGTTACTATGCTGATTATATAAAGATTTTTTTTTCGAAAACTAATAAAGAACAAATTCATACGTCGAAGAAGATATTTAGATTGATTAAAAAACTAATTCACAAAACAATCTACAATGTGTCAACTAATGTGTCATGGAGCCGTAAGAGAAACATTGGAATCGCGGTGAATCCATTTTTCATTCGGTACCCCTAACATATTGCCTTCATGACTAAGGTTATTTTAGTCTCACATAAACCGATGATTATAGGTAGAGATAACCGATGGAGCTTTTATGACGTAGTTTCAGATACTAGTGGGGGGTGGGGGAATAGATTATAGGTTCACGTCACTAAAAATTCACCTTACAGTTCAAAGGCATTTTAACATGTGTTTATTAAAAAGAAAAAAATGATGGTAGATTGCCATTGTTTGATGTGAAGAGACTCCAAAGTTTTTAATGGATATTTACAGTTGATTTCGCAGAATACTATTGTATTGCACACCATATTTCTGAAGATAATTTTAAGGGATGCAATGGGTTTGTGTTAAATGTGTATACATAAATTGATCCTTGACTTTAAGAGGGTAAGGTTGTAGTTTTCAGGAAAGAATCCATACAGGAGTCTGTCCTTCAAAATAGCAGTTCTTTGGAAGAAGCCGAGTAGAACTTTCTTTTTGTACTTGAAACGCGGATATATATATATGGGATAAAGTGCTCAATATCAGAGATAGAGCGTATGTAAATATAAATGTAAAAGTGAACATTGAAGTCAATACTCAGAGGCCTCTGAGTGTTGATTTCAATGTTCAATTATATATATATATATATATATATATATATATATATATATATAACATTTTTCACGCGACAAATATGCTGGCCCCACTTAAAAAAATAGGAAAACTTTTTGGGGGAAATCATATCTATAGATTAACATTGTTTAGAATTTGTCAGAATAAAGGAATATTAATTTGTTGTCGATTTAGAATACGGGGTCCTGTTTATAACATCGATACAGTGTGAAATAGATCCCTGACTTTAAAGAGTTATTGGCGTTAGCTTAAATTACTTAGTCAAGTTTGAAAATGTGTATCATTGGTATTGTATTTTTTTTTTTTTTAATTTTCTGAATTTTTTAAACTATTTTAAAAACAAACATTTGTGGTTCATAATTATTTATCTTAAATTAAGAATAAACGGATATATAATTTGTTATTAATTAATCAGATACATAATATTTTATTAATTAATCGAATATATCATTTTATTAATTAAATATTTGTCTTTACTTAAAAATGTATGTAGCTGTTACTTCATTATTTAACAGAAATCCTAAAAAATAATTTGTTTTCCTCCCCGCAACAGCTAAGGCCTAATTCTGTAAAAGTTCGATATGACCCTGTAAGATATTATAAACAGAACCCCCCTTCTAAATCAATAAGAAATCAAAATAATAATGATTTACTAATTAACTTATAACTGGGCGGCGGTTGGTGGGGAGATACCGTTTATTAATACAAGTCCTACTAATTAATCCATAGCTGTTGGAATATGAGTCATACCTTTCCCAAAAACATTTGAACGTAAGTGAATATAACGAACCGGACTAGAATTGGAACACGGCTCTCCAATTTTCATTAGACCACTCGCACATCCAAGCTTACAGTACCTGGTATTCTAAAGCGATCACTTATCTAGGTACTGACCAGGCTCGACGTTGCTTAACTTTGATCGCATGAGAACCGGTGTTTTAATGTGTTATGGCCGTAAGCCCTTTATACCCCCCCCACTAGTAAGCCCACAGCATCTGATATTCACAAACAATAACCCATCTAGTTACTGACCAGGATCGACGTTGCTTAACTTCAGTGATCGTATGAGAACTGGTGTTTCAATGTGATATGGCCATAAACTCATGAATCACATTTTCACGGGAATTCTTTGAGAAATCTCCTGATGTCTGCAGTCATTAATGATTATTAACTCTCTTTCCGTCTTTCTGATTTTGTACCATCTTATGCAGTGTCTGCTAAAGATCGGCCATATTTTCATAATTTCCAGCCTGTCTTCTGACAAATCTGGGTCTTCAAGTCACGTTTGATATTAGTTCATAGCGATTCCTGCTATGCTCTGCTGTTGTTTCTATTCCTGGCTTTGTATTTCCAGATGGATGAGGAGATCACATGAAGATTGTGTTATCTTTACAATCAAATATCACAGCATCATTGCTTCTACCCATTGCCATCTTGTTTTTGCTATCATTTGGTTTTTACTATTTCTGGCAATTCTAAGTATTTCGCATTAAAGTACACATATACACAGATGATCAAATGCACAATTTAAACCCATTAGATTATTAATAATGATTACTCAGATTATTAATAATGATTACTCAGTTTGATTCTCACTTATTGCCGGATAATTGTGGCTTTGTGTTGAAATAAACTAAACTGAGAAAAAAGTTGTAATGGCAACTACGTTGACCATTCGGAACATTACTATTGATTGGCGAGTTCAACTCCACACTTGTAGTGTAGCACTGCGTCAAACTAAGTTAAAATTACCTTAATACCACCTCACCGTAGGACAGAACTTAGTTTCGTCAACAAAGCCATACAGTGAGGCTCATATCTGTTAGTAACCATGCTAATGCGGATTAAGAAAAATTGTTGATTGATTGATACATTTTTTACGGTTTATCATTGCAGGTTATTTAAAGGCAGTAAATATTTTCAAAATTGTAAGAATATTTTCTGGGAGATAATAATGGATTAGTGATACTAATTAAACTAATTAAACTAATTAAAAATGTAGCTTGTGGGGAGAAGAGGAGGATTTATAATTTTCTCATGTGTAATTATGCGTAAGTGTATATAACGAACCTAACGGAAATTGGAACTCGGATCTCTGATTAACAATTCCCAGCCATTATCCATTACACCACCCGCACATCCAAGCTTATAGCACCTGGTATTCCCAAATGGTTATTCATCTAGTTACTGTGCTTTATATCAGGATTAGAGCGTATGTAAATATAAAAGTTGACATTTGAACACAATCTTCAGATCCGAAGATTGTGTTCAAGTCTAAAACTGTCTGTCTTCACTCGATGTTGACCTCTGTTCAAATTCATACACAGGGTCTACCAAAGTTTTTAAAAGTATTTTTGGATAGTATATTGGATTGTACATTTAACAGCGTCTACCTTAAACTTTAAACTTAACTAAAAAAAAAAAAAAAAAAAATGAAGGTTGCGATGGGTAAATTGTCGTATAAATTACGCAAACATGAAAATAACACTGGCATCTCATTTCAACAGATATATTTACCAAAAATACACAAAAATATCTAAAAATATTAAAGACTAAATTTATTCAATAAAATCACTATTGGCTTCAACCACGACCTCCAGACAACTTCGGAATCTCCTATATGTCTTCTGTACGGTCTCCTTGTTTAAGTTGGTAAATACTGCCATAATCCTTGCCTTCAGTTCATCTTTGGTTTTACAAGAAGTTTTGTTCGTCTCTCGCTCAACTGAGACCCATAGATAATAATCAAGGGGGTTGGAATCTGGAGAGTTAGGTGGCTACATCTAAGTGATGATGTGGTCGAAGAAATTGTTTGATAGCCATGACTGGGTTCTCCTGCTTGTGTCGCACGGTGCAGAGTCCTGTTGTTAAACGTAAGGACTTTCAGCAGCCACCCTCTTGACCTAGACCAGCACTATCTCTTCAAGAGAATTTGACGCAGTTTTTTTTCTGAATCCCCTCAAATTGACACCCAAGCACTCTGAAATGTTCGTACTGGAGCTTCCAAGGCGAATGGCAAACAGCACAGCACACCGTTTCCAAATAGCGGAGTGAATTGTATCATAGTGCTCTTTTTCTCACAGACAGTGCCCAACTAACCCTACTATAATGTGCAGTTGACAAAATCAAAAACAAACAACGCGCATGCGCGGAATTATAATATATATATATATATATATATATATATATATATATATATATATATATATATTCAAACATTATTCTTAGTGGCTACACGTATTTGAATAGGCGCTCTGTTTTTTTTAAACAACGTGTATTTCATCTATAGGCTTGCAAACTCGAGGAAAATTAACAAGGAGAAGGCGCTCTTCGTCATGATTCGAAAATGCACCTCCCCACCTTTGAAGGAGAAACTATAGTCTGATCCGGCTTGATTTGGCCGTTTGGTTTATCTATTATCTTTAAAGCACAATCAGTTGATCAGATCTTCTCGAAAGCCATTGCTGTTCAGTTTCTGTCAGTGCACAGGTCGCTAGACGAAATAAACACTAAAAATTTTGGTATTCACTAAAAATAACGTTTGAAGTAATAAAAACATGCCGGATTAAAAAATCCAATAATTCCTCAACATATATATATATATATATATATATATATATATATATATATATAGTTGTAGAGTGGATAAATGAAACGGCCAAATAGACCCCCATGCCTGACGAACTGGGAACTCTACCCTGTGAAACTATAGTCGCATGCCAAAAACGTAGGTACGCGTATATATGTACTAATTAATACACACACACACACACACACACACACACACACACACACACATACATACATACATATATATATATATATATATATATATATATATATATATATAAAAAAAAAATAAATCAATTGGTATATAATCCAAGTGGATCTTAAAACTGATCCCCAAAAGAGCTCAAAGCATTTATTATTACAGAGCAAAAATTAATACACAATAAAGTCCCAAATCACCTCATATGGAGAATAAGCTTATTTCAACTAAAGAAAATATTTGTCAGCCTTATTCAACCCCGGTATATATATATATATATATATATATATATATATAAAAGGCAAAAGGAAAATTTCTCCTTAATCATATTGTCCTTTTTACAGATATATATTTCTGGTATTATATATATATATATATATATATATATATATATATGATAAAATATAGTTTTACAGTATGCGCTATATTTATGTGTTAAAGTGCTCAAGATCAAGAATAGACGAGTGCGTACAAGCATGAAACAGACCGTTGCTGGTGGCTGCCAATTTCAATGTCAACTTATATATATATATATAGATATAGATAGATAGATAGATAGATAGAGAGAGAGAGAGAGAGAGAGAGAGAGAGAGGGAGTGAGCGAGAGAATTTGGTAGGTAGTTTGAAACATCGGTTGATATAGAATAGAAAAAAAATCAGGTTGAAAGATGGAATGGATAGAGAGATTGATATAAAATAAATTTAGCTTACCCTCGAACGACGCTGAGCAAAAGAGCCTCGGTGATCGGATGGAGTGCAGTGATGTTGAGTCAACGTTATAGCAAAGAAATTTTGATATGGCAACATAAGAAGGTTAATCGGAAATTAGATTGCAGTTTGGTGATTTCAGTTTCCTTACCGATAACATTTAAAATACCCAACTTTGAAATGAACATATTGAGACTGGGGGACCCGATCGATAATGTCTCAATAATTTTTCTTTCATCTCATTCTTGTTTTTTAATAGAACACACAGGTCGCTTTTATTACCTACAACCTTTAAGTTTTCTTCGATGTGCCGTGTCTCTTTTGGATATGGACGATCATGGCTCTCCCTAACTTCCTATCCTTTGTAGCTCTTAGCATTGCTTGTCTTTTTATATTTCACTTCCTGTTTTGCTATTCATTTGCACAAGGTAGGTTACTCTTCGTTTTTTTCTGTCCCTCTTGTCATCGATATGCCCTGTGGGTTTCAAATTTTTTTATCACCCCCCCCCTTACGCATCTCAGAAATTTCAACTTTCTCTATTTGATTCTAAGTATAAGCGTCACTTTTATTTCCATTTTTCTGTATACTTCCTCTTTGCCCAAATGCTCCGTCCATGGTATTCTTAGGATTCTTCTGTTGAACCACATCACCGTGTCCCTCAAGTCACACTCTTCATCTTTGATGAATACCATGGACGGAGCATGTGAGCGACGAAGACATTTTAAGAGAGAGGCAGTTGACAATTCTAGGACATAGTGAGGAAAGAGGGATTGGAGAATCTGACACTTACCGGGCGTATTGACAGCAAGCGGGAGAAAAAAAACATACCTAACGAGCTTATGTGAATGGTTAGAAGAACATAGACAAGAATCAGGTGAAAGGTTATAAACATTGCTTAGAGCTACAAGGATTAGGGATTTCGTATTGGAGAATCCTGGCCATCAATGTCCAGAAAGACCACAGAATATAGGTCTTCAGTTTTAGCTAACCAAAGTATGTTCCCAAATACCGTGTAAATCTCGTATAATATAAAGTGAATAATATTCTTTTTAAAATAAATCACGAATTGAGTGTAGCTGAAGCAGACTATTATAGCGACATTTGCCAAGTATTCTATATGATTTCTAGGTCAATATTTTCATATTTACTGTTTTTAAATACCGCTCCTCCCACCATGACTACCACATCAATATCATCCCCACAAACTGTCACCACTCTAATTACAGTTCGTAGCCCTCATTGCCCTTAATATTGTAAATATTGTAATTATTATTTCAATCTTACTACTAATTATCATATCTTTCTTACCATGTATCCCCACTTATCTCAATATATATATATATATATACATCGGTTGAGCTCTCTAGGGAGAAAGCGTGAATTGTAAACAGTGATTACTACGGCTGCTAATGCAAGACTCTTATAATGAATTGAGTTCTCTCGGGCACTGGTGCGTTTGTTTAAAATAAATACGCTAAAATTCACCTTCCTTTCCACCGTGTGCCAATACCTTAGAGGTAGATTCGCCGACTAATGCCAGATCAGCCAGGTTTCGATCTCGGCTTGAAGCAATCGGATGCCTATCCACACTGATGAGCTATGATACAGCGCATTAGTCTG